CAGAGAAAGTAATTAAAGGGAAAAAGGGTGACAAAAATCGATGGAATTAGTTCTAAGAAATGCTGAGTAAGTAAATATAATACGGCATGATACACGTCTTTTTTATACTGAAACAGATAGATAAGAGCATATTTAGTTAAACTTATATATGAACTTATCTTTTATTGTGTTCTGGATTTTGTTGAAGATGACAGCTTCTAACCATATATTGTGTCACATGTCAGATTCCATGTTCTAATAATGTGATGAAAATTGGTATTAGTACTAATTTACTACCCCCATTCCGAGAAAATTCTTCTCACTTTGATTTGGCATGGAGATTAAGAAAGGGGAATAAAGTGGAAATGTGTAGTTCTGGTTGTGTAAGAAAAAGGTGGAAATGAATCACACAAATTGTCCAAAAAGGAAAGTGAGAAATTTTTTTTGGGACATCCCAAAAAGGAAAGTGAGAAGAATTTTATTGGACGGAGAGAGTATATCAATTGAGCACTCATTATTGTTTTAATGCAGATATTATAGTGATTGAAAAAAAAGATTCTTCAGATTTTTTTTCAAAGATCATTTGCAAAACAACATTTAATCTGCATGGAAGCACTAAATACTCTGTAAAATAAATGCACAATTCTTTAATGTTTTGGGCCCATTATCAATTTGTGATAAAATTTTTTAATTGGAAACATACACAATAAAAAAATATAGGGAAAAGGTGCAAATAAGGCCACGTACTAACAAAAAAAAAGGTCAAATAAGGCCTTATTTAAGAGGTTCTGTCCGGCCGTCGCCATTTGGGGTGGTTCCCGGTGGAATTTTTTGATGAAATTTTTTGCACATCTTATTCAGTAAGTCTAGTTTACTCATACCAAATTTCAGCTAAAACTTCAATCGGGAAGACATTCAAATGAATTCTTGAAGATAACTGCGCTTTTAACTGCACAGTTATCTTCAAGAATTCATTTGAATGTCTTCCCGATTGAAGTTTTAGCTGAAATTCGGTATGAGTAAACTAGACTTACTGAATAAGATGCTCAAAAAATTTCATCAAAAAATTCCACCGGGAACCACCCCAAATGGCGACGGCCGGACAGGGCCTCTTAAATAAGGCCTTATTTGACCTTTTTTGGTTAGTACGTGGCCTTATTTGCACCTTTTCTCAAAAATATATGATGTACTTATGTGCATTAACGGTGGCGGAGCTAAAAATGGTAGATTAGGACGGTCGAGACTTGACTAATTTAAATTGAGGTGGTCAAAATTTAAAATTTCACTATATTTTATCTTACTTATAAATATTTATACATATGTATATACATCATAAATGTTTTCTTAAGGCTACTTTTTGAAGCATAAAAATGTTGGAGCTTATTTCTGAAATGCTATAGGAGACAGCTTTTTAAAAAAATAGCATATGTTAAATTTTTATTCTATTCATCGGCAGGACTAGTAGTTTGTTTAGATCTTAAAATAAGTCAAGCGATTCAAAATTAGCTCAACCGGATTTAATATACGGCTTTATGCATATGACAAACTTATTTTGTTGCGACTGCTGATATAGCCATATGGGCAATTTCAAGAGCTTATTTTAAGATATTATTATATTTACCCAAAAGGACTAGTACTACATTTGGAATTTCTAATTAGTTGTAAGCTCTAAAAGAATCTCTACCAATAATTATGTTATTTACCCAAAAGGACTAGTACTACATTTGGAATTTCTATACCAGACATGCTACTATGTTGTAGCTTTTTGTTTGTTTAATATAACTTTAGATGGTTATTTTTCTGAATTGCAATTTCTTTTGCACATGTAACCTTATTTAATCAAACTGATCGGGGTTTCCACCGATGCAGATCTCAATATCTATTGACCAAAGAGAAAACCCCGTCCCAAAAGAAATTGCAATTTGGGACGGGGTTTTCTCTTTAATTTTTTTTAGTAGTGAATATATGTATCTATAATCTATCATCACCAAATTACAATTGCTAAAGTAATGTCATATCATTTCTATACCAGTCTTCTTATGCAAAAAGCCAAGAAGTGTGAATGCTATCTGCCCATCTCCCATCCACCCCTTCCTAACATATAGCTGCACTTTACAATCTCTTATCTGCCGCCTCAGGGCAGCAGTGGAAGGGCTTAGAGGTTGTGTGGGGTAGTGGAGGTTGAGAAGGTTACATTAGGGTATGTTTGTATGATAAAAATATTTTGGAAAGGAAACTGATAAAACAAAAATAATCAAATGTTTGGCTTTGCGATGGAAAACTCAGAGGAGAGCGAGTATGGTTAGTTTTTATTCTAACGTTACAAATATTTATATTTCTTAATTTATATATATATATAATACTCCCTCCGTCCCGAAAATAACTTCCCACTTTCCTTAAATGGATGTCCCAAAATTAACTTCACACTTCAATACTTTCCTTATTTGACAAATTATCTACATCAAAAAAGTGATAAACATTGTCAAACAGTGTTTAAACAGTGCAAAACAGTGCATTATACAGTAAAGTCAAATTTATTTCCTAAAAGTGTGTGAAAGTCCAACCGGGAAGTTGTTTTCGGGACGGAGGGAGTATAATATAATAGATAAGAGCTATAAATAAATATGAGTATATGACTACCAACTTACGTAGTGGAGTATATCATAATCAAACAAACCAAGTTCAGGCTTTTAGCATATCACTTATTTTCTTGCATGCTTTTCTTCATATATACTTTCCCTAGTATTTTCAGGGTTTTAAATGGGCCCTTAATAGTTTAACATCGGAAGTATCACTTGCTTGAGACTTGCATATGCAGGGAAGTGCAAAGCGGCTCATCAAGGCTGCTCTCCAAGAAGCTGCAAAAAAGAGAGAGATGCGCTACTCAGATCTTCATAAGATATAGACAAAAAAAGTGAGACGGCATTTCCATGATGATATAACTGTGATTGTTTTATTCTTAAGCCATGACCTCAAATCCAAAGGCATGGTTCAGGACCCTCCTCTTTCCATCAGAAGTGCTCTTGAACATTAACAACACAGAGCATACCAGTCATATTGTATATTTCCTGTAATGGTCTTTTCCCAGTCAATAACTGCACTTTTGGGTGATATTTGCCTGACCTTTGTTGTCTCTCATATCAATAATAATTCTATGTCAATATTAGGCTGGCGGTTCCACTCAATTTGTTTACATTAACTGCAGCCTCGAGTTAAGTAGATTTATTTTTGGGATATTTCAATTTTGTAACTTGTCTATAGTGACAGAAAATTCTTGAGTTATGTGAATGGATGAATTCATTCCTCATACAAATTTGTATTTGTTGTCACTTGTCAGCATTTGAGTCATTTAGAAAATGTGTTTTTTTACATGTCTAATTTATTTTGAAGGAGTAAAGTTTGAATGGGTGTATAAAAATGTCCGCGCCTGTATAATACTGTCGTGGTCTCTTAAGATGTTTTCTTTTGGACTGTTTTCAGTTCTAGAACAGACCAGATCAGACTTCCATAGTTATAATATACACAAAGACCAGACATTTACCAGATCAGACCAATTCAGACCAGATTAGAATAGTAAATTTCAGTCCAAAAAAAAAACATCCAAAGTTAATACTTGCTACAATTTCTATTGGACAGTTTCATTGCAACACTTCCAATTCCTTTCCATATAAGCTACCACAAACATTTTACCTTCTACTTGACCTTTTTCCTAGCAAGAATCTGAACAGAGATAACTAGACAAGGCTCACTTATTTTCTTCGACAACTTCCTTCAAGATTCGATGGATGCTTTGTAATTGAACCTGTATATAGTTTGAACCTTTGTCCTGTTGCGGTTTTTTTTTTGGGAAAAATCTTGAAACACCTCCAATTTATGTTAGACTTGCACAAACCTGGTCCAACCTGCCCACAAGCCCCAGGTAAATAGCCAGGCTTGGGCATATACATTTGACCACAGGGCCCTGCCCAGCCCGCAATAGCATATAGGCGTGCAGCAGGCTTGGGTTAGAGTGTAGGCCCGTTCAGGCCGATAAGCCCTGTCCGCTATAAGTATATTTATTTATTTATTTATTTATTTATTTATTTACTAATTTATTTATTTACATATAGATTTTTTCATTTACATTTAGTAATTTAAATATTCAAATTTAAATTTTTATACTTAAGATGTTAAGATTCATTATGTTTAAATTTAAATTTTTAGTTATTAACAACTAGTCCAGTCAATATAATATCTATTTTTTGTACTTTAAATAATACTCTGTGTTTGAATTTTAACTTTTAGTTATAAAGTTTTCATGATTAATTTTGGGTTAAATGTTTTTTGTGTAATATTAGCATCTATCCTATAAATTATTATCATATTAACAATTTTTCAATGTTGTATTATTATGTTAAGCGTTAAAAATTGTTAATATAATTTTGAAAGATTCAAAGCTAAGGTTTCCCGTCCTGGGCGGCCCGGTGGACTACCCAGCCTGCTCTTGCAGATATGTATGAACATATTGTTGGGACCGTTACGTGCGGATGGACCCACCCACACCAATGGGCGAGAAATTTAGAAATGGCCTAGACCGAGCCCCAAATGTTTTTGTGGATGTCTAACTTTGTGTGTATGTAAGAGCATCTCTAATGCTACAATGTGCACGGTGCACATGTGGCATGAGAGAAATAGACACAAAAGATTGATTTTATGACATTTCTCTCTCCGTCTTTCCACGGTCTAATGTGTTTTTGGTAAGTTTTTCTCTGCAATGTCAATTGCAATGTCTATATATAGACATTGTGCTTGACATTGTGAAGAAAAACTTATCAAAATGGTATAAGATCCTTCAAATAAGGAGAAAAATATTTTATTTATTGTTTTTTATTGGATATTTCTCATGTCACGTATGCACCATTAACGTTTTAGCACTGGAGATGCTCTAAATTGTCAAATTGAACACTCCAATGTTCTCTTTCGTTATTTGTTCATGTACCGTAGCAATTTGCTGTAGCCCTTACGTGCCTCGCTAGCAATTACGAGCGTTAATGAGGCCTGAATTGGGAAAAAATATACTAGTTCACTTGGGTTCTTATCTACCCTTTCCAAACCAACGTTGCAACTATTTTCGAATGGAGGAAGTATAATATTACAACACAAAATTGAAACGAAATGACCACTATGGGATTTTAGAGGTTGTTGTTAGACTACTATATCGAAATCACAGAGCTTCCTATCATTATAATGACTTTCTTCCATACACCATCATCTTATATTGTCATTTTCAAATCATAATATAGTTCTTGATTATGATGAACTCCACTAAGTACATCATGGTTTGGGGCTATGTCGGGTGCAGCGGCGAGATCGAACGTGGAGGTGCGAGGGTTGGGCGAAGTGGCGCGATTCTCGCAGTAGGCGCGATGCGAAGCGGAGCTATCGACTGCAACGACCTTCTGGTGCGGCTCGATTGACGACGATTGAAGACATCAGGGTTGGAGACGGAGAGCGGTTCCAACAGATTTTTTCGGGAATGGTGGCGCAAAGTAGCATCCTTCAGGGCAAATCGGACGAAACCATGGCAAAGGCATAGGGGTGATCGATGGTGATGAAGAAAAGGCGGCCGAAGCGGAGGAAACCAACTTTGGTGTAACAACATTCATGGCAAGGGTCCGGCCTCCGCCTAAACCACCGCCAGAGGTTGAACATTATTGTTTTTCTGTTTGGTGTGTTTTTCTTGTTTCTGACAGCTCTTGTTTTTCCTTACGGTTTGTTTACTTTTTTGTTGATTGTAAAACGATTTGTTTGGATTTGGAGGTAGGGGATGATTTAACTATGATTACCGTCACTGGCTCAGTTGTGCCCACTTTTGGATCAGCGAGTTATATTACTGAGGTAGTTGACTCCGACTCTGGTTCGCGGGACGGCGGTTTTCTTAAGTTATTTTGTCTGTTTTCCTGCTATCCAGATGATTTGAGTTAGATGTAAGCCACCTTTCCTAAAAAAAAATGACAGTTGAAGCTTAGTGCTAAAGCGTAGGATTCCATCCTGATAAGAATAATAATCGTGAATCTCAATATAGCAATTTATTACTTGATCGTGATGGGACTTTTAACACTTTATCAACGAGGAATTGGTCAATTGAGTACATCAACTGGTATAAGTTGGAGTAAAAAGTATACTATATTGCATTTAACATTTGTAAGTACGTAAACTCGGTTATTTAGTGTTAATTAAGCACACTTATTAAATTAACATGTTAATAATGCTGAGTTGGCTAATGGAATGTTGAGTAATGGAGCAAGGTTATGCGTTGACCTTCACGAAGTCGATCGAAAAGGAAAAATCGACCTTCGGAGGTCGACCTGTGGGGGCGTCGGTCTGCGGGGGTGCATCGATCAAGGAAAAGTCAACCTGCGCTGACCGACGTCGACCAAGAGGAAATCGATCAAGGGGCTGGGGGCTGGGGGCTGGCATAAATCTTCAAGAAGTCGACCGGCCTATTAACACTATGTTTGTCAACTTAGCCGTATTAATGTGTTAATTTAACGAATGTACTCAATTAATACTAAAAATTGAGTTTGTATACTTAAAAAGATCAAATGCAATATATTCTACTTTTTACTGCAATTCATACAAGTTGTTGTACTTAATTGATCTTTCATCCTTACCCCCTTTATCAATGCTAGGACTGAATATTCCGGTAAAAAGATGCATTCACACTCATAGCGCAATCAAAGATACACTTAACTTCAAACACCATCCTTCATCTAGTGATATCATACAAAACATCTATAGCTAAGGTGTCTTAAGGTTATGCTTGAGTGCTCTACTACAAAGACATATAGCTTCACATTGCACACTAATATAGTCTAATCCAAATACACGTAACTTCAAAAAGCATGAAGAATTTATTAGTCTTTCAAAAAAAAATTATTAGTGATAATGCACGACAACATCGTATGAGTAAACGTCTTCTTAATTGGTCGTGAGCTACAAAACTACTTTATTGCTTTATAAGATTTGGACCAATGCAAATGGGATCCGGAACCTCTGCCTTGCTTCAAAGCAAGGCAGGGTGTCTGGCTCTTCTAGGCCGTTCGATCGGGAATTGGACGGCCGAAGATGTTGGGCTCCACTCCTTTGCCGATCTCGAGGTCGTCCTGGTCGCCTCCCCGCCGTCGGATGCCGCAAGGCACTCTGCCTTATGGCAGAGGATCCTGATCGATGCAAATGATATGCTTTCGTATAATGAACCAAACTTCTTTCACCTGCAATAAGTCCTTTGCCACAATGCCACTCATCCTTGAAAATATATTGTGTACTTGTGTAGCACCCCGATCTAGAAGAGGAATACACCACGGATCCGTCTTGCCTATTTCATGTCTAGGCAATACTTTATGATTTTATCCCAATCTAATCTATAGTTTTTTAAAACAAAAAAGTATAATAAGAACTACGCACTATACACAAAAAAGTTATTTGACCTACAAGGCAACAAATAAATGAACTCACAATCACTAGAAGAATATTAATGTGGCACCGATCATTTGGAACATATTTTTTACAATGATTTACCAAAAAGTGTAGGAGATTTGGAACATATTTGGCATGGATTCACGCTCCCAAACCCATTCCAAAGTTTGTGTCATCCAATTCGGTTTTGAATGAGCTACTTGACACGACGTCATGCCAAAAATATGTTGTGATCCATGCCAAACTCGATCAATCTGTGTCAACACCGTGCGAATATATACCGGTATTTTTTGTAGTGAATATACAAAAAGAGAAATTATTGAGACACATTTCATCCAAAAAAAAAAGAGAAATTATTGAGAGCTAGTTTGGCAACGTTCAGCGGCGGACGCAGGATTTCCCGATAGCAGGGGCGGCAGTACAAGAATATACATACAAATACATATATATTAAAAATTTCGGCGTAAATATACCTATAATTTTTTTTCCCGGAGGGGGGGCAGCCCCCCATAGAGCCCCCATGTGTATCCGCCACTGGCAACGTTGGAATTGCTTGAATTGGTTGATTCAGCTTATCAACTTTATCAGCCAACTTTTCACAAAACAAACAGTTTTTTATTTCACACACTAAATCAAAACACATAAGATTGAAGTTACTTTTTATGTTGAAAAGATTCCGTCATTTCAGCTAAAACTTGATCAATATAACTAATTTCAGTCTTACGAAACATATCACTCGCATCTCTCGCGCATCTGACACCTCCCCAAATACGACCACATATATTAATAAGCTTTACCGTTAATGTTTAAGCTTTGTCATCAAGATTAATAAGAATGAATGCTTCATGACAAAGACATATATATAGGCTATAGCTTCACAATTCACACACTAATATACGTAGTACCAATAGTACTCCGTATAGTTGTGTCTAATCCAAGATAACACTTAACTTCAAAAGCTAGGCATCACGAGTTTAGCATCCAAGACAACATCGCACGTGTAACATCTTCTTGGGCTTAGCTACAAAACAACTTTCTTGCTTTATAGGATTTGGACCAAATGACACATTTTCGTATAATGGAGCAAAGTTTCTCTTAAATTAAACTATACATTTGTTGTGTCGCACCACGAAGGCCGAACTACAAGAGGAATAAACCGGCCGTGGACCCGTCGTAAATTTCATAGGGAAATATAAAAGTCATAAATTTCATAAAGAATTTATATTGCAGGGTCAAAACATAAAATAAATTTTCATTATACTACGTATACTTGTACTTTACTAATTATAAATAGGGAAAGTTCTCCAAATAGGACTAAAATAGTTTGAAAATTCCAAAATAGGACTGTCATGTTTTTATTCCAGAAATAGTACTAATTACTAAATTTGGAAAATACTGCCATGTTTGAAGTCTGGTACTGCCAAAACATGACAGTAATTAGTCCTATTTTGGGAGTATAAACATGAGTCCTATTTTGGAATTTTCAATCATTTTTAGTCCTATTTTGGGTAATATTCTTTTTTTTTTTTGAAAATCAAATAACCATTTTATTGATAATCAGATCTTAACAAGAAACATAACAACTAAAAGCCGAAGCATTACAATTATAGCGTTCAATACTACACTAGGGTGAGACAAAGAACAAAGACGCCATATAAAAACACTCATGATCGCTAACCCTGCAACAATGTAGACTTGTACCGCAGTGTGACTGCTCGTGCTACTCGAAATGGGTTCGGCTTGACCATCCACCGAAAAGGAATTGTTGAACTTGTTAGTTTTTCCATCCACCGGTAAGGAGCCAAGTGCAGAGATGGTTCCGGTTTGACCAGTCACCGGAAAGAAAGCAATCCATCCAATGTCATCTTCCTGGATCGGCGGTGGTTCAAGAGGGGGGCGATCAGCCTCTATATCGATGCGCAGAAATCCTGATTCATGATTGATAAAGAAGCCAACATAAATCTCTTACTAGCACACAAGAGCACCCGACCGATGATGGCGGAGAATATAGATCTGGCGAGCGACACTGCGCCACCGAAAATAACATCTCTAGACAACGCTAGGAAATAAACGTATAGATAGAACAGAAAATACTGATTAAACGAAACTTTTTCCACAATTGAAATCAAAAGAAGATAAGAACAGAAGAGAAGAAGAGAAGGAGGCGGCTAGGATTTCCCGTCACCGCTCCTCGCGGGTAATATTCTCTTATAAATATGTATACTCAAATTTTTTCTTGAGTGGCCGAGGCCCGCCAGCCTCCCGTCTCCAATGACCACCACGTACAAACACACCGTGTAGTTAAGAAATTGTAACCCCAACTCCAAAATTTTAATAATCAAAGTTCAAACTTGAATTGTGACAAAATTGGTGATATACTTTGTATTCGACTACTTGGCCGGCCTGATACGTACACTAATTAACTTTGTTCGGCCGTGAACTTGGATCCTTGCTTCCTTGTTAATTACAAACAATGAGATTGGTAGGCTTTCTTGTGAGGATATTTTTAATCTATACGACTATACCCAGTGACCAAATTATATACCGGAGTATCAATACCAAATTAAAAGGATAAAACGCACTATTCATAATAATTGAATGATGATAGCCTAAATAAAAGTAAACTAAACTGTTTTGAAATTCCAAAATAGGATTACTATATTTTTTATTCTTTAAATAGGAGTAACTTTATTAGCCATTAAAAATGACTGTGTCTGCCAAGTTTTTTCAATTTTGACAGAAATTAATATTGGAATAAAAATATGAAATTTCAAAACATTTTTATTCTTATTTTCTCATAATTTCTATATTCCAAAATATAGTACATATATACTATACGGTATGTTTTAAAATGGGCATTAAAGCATCAAACCGAGGGGAACACGGTAATTAATTTACCTTTCTGGGTACGCACTGGCGGAGCCAGAAGTCTATAGTTATAGGAGCCGGTCCTTAAAAAATTTACATTGCAGGGACCAAAGTTTAAAATATCAATATATTTTCAATAGATTAAATGTATTTATACATAATATATACTTAAGAAATTTTTTTCTTGTAGGGGCCGTGGCCCCTCCAGCCCCTCCCTGTCTCCACCCTGTGGGTACGAAATATTGATGTTTTTTTACTTATTTTCACACGGGTGTTGAAGATCGTTATATATATGTTTAAAAGATAACATGTAACAACAACGAAAATAGCAACTCAGGACTTGGCACTTTCATAGTTTCATGTTAGGTTATAGACGAAAGCTATAATAAAGGAAACACAAATTATGCATCATTGTATTGCCTGTAGCTTATTAGTTCGTTTTCTCATCCACCATTTTAATGTTTAACATGTCTTGAATATTGTACTTTTGTATATACTATACGGTTAATCAATTCTTTTGAGGGGGGATTTATTCAAAATAAAGGGGAAGAGGGCACAAAACTTGGCCTCAATACAAAGGAAAAATTGACAAGAATAATCCCACATTTTACTGCTCTTCTCATAATAATCTCACCTTTAAATAATCCCAAAATAATTCCACCTTTACACCTCATCTAGCTTCTTTCATTGGACCTTCACCGTGTTTTTTACTCCTTTTTTGAAAATCATATAAATAATCTCACCTTTCACCTTTTC